AAGTTCATTATTAGTGGAGAAAATCAAGATCGAAATTTCGTTTTTAAATTTCGTGCCACTATCTCCGCACGTGAGGTAACAAAGTTCAAAATGTATTTTCAGTATTTTCATGGCATTGGCTTCATAAAATTTTCTGAACGTTTGCATGCTATGTCTATAGCACCCAAAGATTACAATGTATGTCAATTTTGTCGATAGGAAGCTACGAAGGACCCAGTAAGCGCCTTAAAAATTTTTTAAGTAAGGATGTTTGGTGCGAGAATCTCAAGGTGGCATCACCTCCCACATCATCTTTTCATGCGTTTTCTCACTAAGCGTCATATTGCGGTAAGAGTGGTGTTTTCAGGATAGCAGAACTGTGTACTTTACTAATACGCAAAAAATCCTTTTGCTCTCTACTGTCCCTTTGAGAGGGTGTTGCGTGCCTTGTGCCACGAACACAAAGCTGACAGGGAGGATTGTTTGCCTGAAATACTGTTCGCATTGAGAACAGTTCCACACACAGAGACACAGGCTTTATCCCCTCTGAGTTGGTGTATGAACGGACTCTTCGTTTCCCCCAGAATGTTAAGAGGAATGTGGGAAGGAGCAGATGAAAATGTGACAGCAGTGAGTTACGTCTTAAAGTTGCTGGATCGCTTGAGCAACTCGCGTCAATTGATAAGAAAAGGCCTAAATGAGCACCCCTTTCCCCTCCCAAATAAAAAGACTCAGTATGACATGAATGCTCATAAACAAACATTTAAAGTGGGTAAGTCATGATCCTAAGGCCATCACGGAACAAACTTGAGGTACAGTGAGACGGACCTGTTAAGGTTACCAAAAATATTTCAGAGACTAACTATACCTTAGCATTTGCAGGGAAATAGAACAAAGGGATCATTTACCAATGCAATCTAATGACACCTTATTATGGAAGGGAAGAGGTTGCCAACATGGTGGTAAACGCGTCAGAAGAAGTAACCACAGAACTTGCACTTTTGAGACCAAAAGCCAGCGCAAAGCACTCAGTAGAACACGTCCTGAATATGTCAGGGCAAAATCAAATGGTTCTCGATGCTAATCAGGTCGACGATCATCGTAAGCGAAGAATTTCACTAGTACTTCAGCAGCCAACCGGGGAAAACGATACCTATTACTCACAAGAGTGAGTTGACATCGGACAAGCCTGCCCAGCCCAAACCGTACCGTCTCACCTCGTCCAGAAAAAATCATGGAAGTAACGATAAAACGAATGATCGAGCTGAGAATCATTGAGCCAGCAGACGGTGATTATACTTCTCCGATGATTACGACGGTGATTATACTTCTCTACCCCATAACTAACAAAAATGAACGAGTCGAACCGGTGAGTGGAGCCCAGTATATTTCTAGGCTCGACTTAGAGGTTACTGGCAGGTTCCCATGTCAGAAAGCACAATTCGCTACGCAGCGTTCACCTCTCCGCTTGGCCCATTTCAACCTCACATGTTGAGTTTTAGGCTTAAGAATACTCCGTTTGATTTCCAAGCTGATGGATATGGTCTTGAAAGACCTACAAGATTACATTATCCCCTATTTACAAGACCTCGCAATCTTTTTCGACTGCAGGAACAAACATTTGGAGCACCTAAGAGAAGTGCTGAGTCACTTACAAGATGCGAGTCTTACGATAAAGGCTGAAAAGTACCGCTTTGGATATTCACAAGTTACCTACCTTAGACATGTCGTAGGACAAGGAAAGCAGAGGCCCTCCAAAGTAAAGATCGGACCTATCACTAGCTTTCTTCAACCGCAAACGTAGACAGATGTCTGGGCTTTTCTGAGGCCCATGGGATATTGCCAGTGTTATATTCTGAACTACTCGCAGTTAGCAATCCCCTTAACAGACGCTATCCGAAATGGTGAGCCCAAGAAATTCCAGTGGAATGAGGCAAAAGACGGCGCATTTAAAGAGCTGAAAAAGTCTGAGCTCTGAGCCATTGCTCCAAAGCCCCAATTATTCTAAGGAATTCATAGTGCAATGGGACGCTAGTGAGTACGGGTTGAGGGTAGTCCTCAATCGGGTGGGAGATGACGCAGAGAAGCATTCGATATTGTATACTACTCAAAAACTATTGTGCAGAGAAGAGGTGTACAGCACCTCGGAGAAAAGTAATGCACCTGCTTCGGCCCAGGAACTATAGTGTTAACTATACAAAGGAAAGTTCACCTTCGAAACTGACCACTCTCCTCTGATATGGCTGTGACACGTCACCCCAAAATGGACGCTTGCTCAGATGGAGTATAATTTTTTAAGAATATAACTTCACCGTCCATTACAAAAAGGGCAAGTTAAATCAGGAATGCAGATGGTTTGAGCCAGTTTCAGAAAACCGATGTTTTATTTTCCTTTCCTGAAATTATCTGCTTTTTTAAGGAAATGGACTTCATCCACGTAGCTACATTTTACGTGTGCACTTTTATAATGTTCTTCATTATATTGCCATGTTCCATTTCGCAAGTTTTGTTATCGCCCCAATACATTACACAATTTTCAGCGCCAACTGCGCCTGCAGTTTTCGAGAAGCTTCAGGACTGTAGTAGATCATTTCGATAAGATCAGGCCCACTCCGCGAACTGTACAGATTATTCTGCAACCTACGTCACCACCAGCGATAACGCTAGAACATTCGATGGAAAGAATATAAATGCTGACGCACTTCGCCGCTTGTCAGAAGTTGATCGACGGCCGACGCTCCGTTCACTGCTATCTGTGCAAGACTGCGACTGTAATCTGACTTTCCGTTTATCGGGCACAGGTTCGCCCATATAAACAGTTGAATCCCAAGATAAAGTCTCCTGTCTTTGGCCACGTCACGACCCCGTAACAATATATTCAATACTTTTTCTTTTCAGAAACTTTCTGACGGACCATACGGCAACAGTGGGCATATGCAACATCCACAGCAAAAGCTTCCAACTACCGAAAAAAGGCACGCCGCAGGATTCGGTCATCTCGCCGTTACTTTTCAATGTGGCTATGATCAATCTGCCAAAAATTGTCGCCAAAATACCAGATTTACAACACGCGATCTACACTGACGACATCATGCTCTGGACAAGGGCTCCGAACACTGGGAAACAAGAAACCTGCCTACAAACCGCCGTAGATGCCATCGAACGGTATCTCAGAAACTGCGGTCTCTGCTGTGCCCCCGAGAAATCCGAGCACCTCATCCTCAAAGCGAGAACAAGAAGCAGACCCCCTCTATACGACGAGCCCAACCCTAGCGTAACGCTGCAAGGGACCTTAATTCCAAAAATCGAGACCTTGCGAGTGCTTGGAGTTCACATCTACAAGGATGGATCGGGAGCTGCCACCCTACAGAGACTCCAAAGGACAATATCACAACTCACGCACATCGTCAAGAGGATCGCGAATCAAGGAAATGGACTCAAAGAGCACGACACACTACGTATAATGCAAGTTCTGTTCACCAGCCGCATTACGTACGGCACACCGTACTTGAATTTGAAAACCGCTCAAATTGAAAAACTTAATATCATGATAAGAAAGGCCACTAAAGTAGCCCTGGGACTTCCGCCAATGGCCTCTACCACACGTCTCCTAAAGATGGGCGTCCACAACACGTGGCAAGAGCTCATCGAAGCGCATAGGAACAGTCAGCTGGAGAGGCTCAAGCTGACGCCCACGGGGAGGTCAGTGCTCCGGTACCTCAACTACAGCGCCACGTTCATTGCCGATGCAGACCGGAAAAAGCGCATCCGGCTGTACATTCGCTGTACAGAGTCGCTGTCCATCGCACCTATTCCACGCAATATGCATCCTACTTTCCACAAAAGTAGACTCAAGGCTAGAGCTAACGCTATTCAACGAAAGTTCAAGCAAGACCCGGACGCCCTCTACACTGACGCGGCCAAGTATTCGCATAGAAATGCGTACGCTGTCAGCGTCGTAGATTCTCAAGGCAGAGAATCAGCATCAGCCACGGTCAACACACTCAATTCAGACGCCGCAGAAGAGTCAGCAATCGCTCTAGCAACCACAACATGTACAGACACCAAAAATGGAAGGCTGTTTGAAATGGTGGTTGGAATTGTAGTGCGATAGGTGTGTAAAAAAAAAAAGAAGAGACAGTGTTAACTTTCATAAGGTACTATCTTGGCGAGTCTAGGGTTGAGAGCCTGTGCTTGCACGTGAGGTGGCGACTATGTTCTTTCATTTGTTTGGCATACTTTCTTCAGGACATGGGTCAAGGATGTCATCGAACAACGGTCGCCTCCAGTGGGCTACTATCTCCATCTGCGTTCTTCATGGCCAGCGATGTTCACCGGCCATTCCGAACTTTTGGGGTGAGGAGGAGCTGTTAGATATGGACTGCGCACCATTTCAGTATTCAGCTTAGCAACGTATAAGGGTGATATTTCCCCAGAAGACTGGCACTGCGGGTCATCCTCTGAATGAAGTCTTCGTGCGGGAGCTTAGGTGTTTCATGTTCCACATTCAGAGATCCAAGGGCGGCAGTCTTGCATTCCCATCTCCAAATGCGTGCTTCCACAACAGTGGATCAACCACCCAAGGAGTACAGTCCCCCGGCAACACGGCCCTGGATCACCATTTGTTTGAAAGTGATGCCATCTGTTTGGGACTGCCGATTACACGAACCTCACATCGCTCACCCCAGTTCGCGATTCGCTGGAAATGACGTGATTTAAGGTTATACAAGTCGAGCAGCCATAGAAGAAGAGGTCGTATTCTCCTGGGCGAGGTATATAGCGTGCGAGTTGCTGCTGACAAGTGTGACGTGTTATAACAGCGTATTCATCTCATTATTTTACCATGATTCTTTAATGTAAATAAAACAAAGTTTTCACTGTACATCCGCATCATTCTCGGCCAACTCCCGCACTTGAGCGGCAAGATAAAACAGTAGAGAGATTCAGAAATTCCACAACACTGCCCCACACATTTTACAAATTTTTTTGAAAATCATAACAAACAAAAGAAAAGCTCTCACCTTGCCACCAGTTACAGAAAAGTTGGCAAAGATGCAATACTTTTCATTCCTGTGTCCTGTATATGTCTTGAGACACTGCACAAAAAAATGTTTAGGACAAGGGATGCATGTTACAATCAAGGTTTTCAATGATCATCATTGCTTCTGTGGCCAGTTATTTTAGGATGCATTTTGCAAGCACCGCAAATACTTGAGTATGAAATAAACATAGCTTAGATCACACCCATAACTCTTTAAAAAACACTTGGTTTGCCAAGTGTACCGAAAGTGCCTTGGTGACACTCTAGCAATAATAAATGTCAATGTGATGACAGTGTTTTCAGCCATATGCACCACCCCAAGTTAAATACTTCAAAAAATCTCCTCAGACCATCCTTCAGTGTGCAAATAAATGTTGAGTCACCACTAAAACTGCTTAATAAAGTCAAGCATGTTGAAAAACGGGCTGTATTTATGCATAACGGCCATACAACCAACAAAGGCATAACCAGGGTGCACAGTTAAATTTATGCATTTATAATGCACCAGACCCCTTAGCACATATCTCTCATGTCGTGGGTAGAGTCGTTCATTATTTCTGAATAATCAATCAATGGAATTTATTTTCATGAAAAATAATATTATATACAATCACAAAAATTATTTCAATCGACAGCCTAAGGTGACTAGTGGTTGATATGGGGGATTTAACGTCCCAAAACCACCATACGATTATGAGAGACGGCGTAGTGGAGGGCTCCGGAAATTTCCACCACCTGGCGTTTTTTAACGTGCACCCAAATCTGAGCACACGGGCCCTACAACATTTCACCTCCATCGAAAATGCAGCCGCCGCAGCCGGGATTTGAACCTGCAACCTACGTGTCAGCAGCCGAGTACCTTAGCCACTAGAACACCGCGGCGGGGCAAACTAGTGGTCCACCCAACACTAGTCAGTAGAGCCGTAGTGAACCTCAGCATAAAACAGTTTCGTTGAAAAATTGATGCTGTATCAACTTCCAACTTTCTTTGGCCTGTGAGATACACAATAAATGTAAAGAAATACCCTCGACATATTCTTTTGCTATTACTTTCTGCAACCATGCTTGGACAGACTTTAAATATTCAGCAACAGTGGCCACAACAACACGAGGATAGCCTGCATCTATAAGACATGTGACCTTGCTTTATAAAGCTGGAACTCATTTTGTACTCGCAGGACGACAGAAGAATTGCCGCATGACATGGCTGGCTATACTGTTTTTTATAACCTTAAAATTCTTCAACGAGAAGTTTAACAGCGGTTTTAAAGATCTATCGTAACTGTCTGAAAATCTTATTTCGTTATTCTGAGACAACTCTTCATTAAGTTCAGCCCTCCTCCATTTCATTCAAGTTTTTCGCTCACTGTCATAACCACCAATTAAAAGTTCTCACCACAACGAAAAATCATGTAGTCATCCATGTAACAAGAAACCTTGAAGGGGCCCTGTGACACAAATTAAGCATGTTGTTCTCATCACGTCTCCTCGAGGAATGCGCCAATAAAGCTGTTATAATTTTATTTATACAAAAAAAAATGCCCTGTTTTCGAACAAGAGCAACGCACAGCAGCTGTTTCTGAGATCAAAACTGATGCTTCACTACGTGGCAGTAATGGCATAGGCCTCACGTTTTGATCAGTTCGACGCAACAAGTCACGCATAACATTCATACGGTCCCAAATAGGCCAAACCATTGTGCATTAAAATTACAAAAGCATATTTTATACTTCTTCAGATACAAAAGGATTGCAGTCTTTAAATATGCAAGCGTGAAAACAACTGCAAAACGACTCTATGAGCGCTACACAACAGCCACCACGGGGCGAGTCATCCGGTAAGTCTTTGTTAGAGGCACGCGGTGATTAGAAGCTGTCTTTGACATCAGCGGGAGAGTGAAATGCGAAAGGGACCGTTTTTTCTTGTCGTGTGCTAGGGTTTTAAAGTTTGAAGGCCAATAGTTTCCGTTACCATGTACAGTAATGGAAGTGACATTTTGCTTTTTGGAGCAGATTCTGGAGTAGAAAAAATGGTGCTTTGGAGCATTAAGTGTCTTTGGAGCAGAAAAAAATGGTATAGCTTAAGGTTGCTATTGGTGTTTTCGGAGCAGATGCATGTTCCTCACAACTCCTGAAGTCTAAAAGATCCCTTAAACATCTAATAAATATCTATAGTTATTATTATACATGCCATATACTAGTATACAAGCAGTATAGGTGGCTTAAGTCATGGGTGGGGGGGGGTCAAGAAAGTTTGAACTTTTCTGGTGTTTAGGCTGGGGAGGCCACCCATTACAAATGTCCCACTTGAGATTTAGCTTCATCACATATTAAAATTGAGTTAACCATTAAGTACAGCACAATCAACTTTTTAAAAAGCTTTTTATTTTTTACTGCATACCTGTGTTAATGCCCCTCAGTGTGTGAACTATGGAAATCGAAAAAAAGTGAAAAAAAGAGACTGAATAGAACAATGCGATTGCTCGAACTCGAACCCTATGCTCGTTTTTTTAATTTCATTTGAAAGCATGATTTATTATCGTATAAACATAAGTACAATCCATATAAATATATGAATTGGACACCATGGCCTGATATGCATCCCTCCTTGAGATTTTTCTGGATTAACGCGACCGAGTAGCACACCAGGATGACAGTGTATACAGCTTGCTTTTGGCTTCGCTTAGGCTCACGGGATGGTACCATGGTTCAACTTCATTCTTATTAGCTTTCCAACACCATTTTGGAGCAGGTTTGGAGCAGTTACTAGCGAATATTGCACTTTGGAGCAGCATGGAGCAGCATTTCTCTTTTGAAGCAGTTTGGAGCAATTGGAGCAGCACTTCCATCAATGCATGTATGATTTCGATAATTCTTGTTGCATGCACCTCAGTATTTTATGCTAAACCAACTCCAGCACTTCAGAATGCAAACAAAAAAGCGTTCCACAGGCCCTTTAACAATATAATTTCCTAAAGAGCCCTCTAAATATTAGGTAGTCTTTCTAAGGTATAAATAATGAAGGATTGAGGAAACCTTAGAGCTAACGCAAGCTCGTCATTTTTGCACACACCGTATTTTCTCGTGTATACCCTGCACCAAAAACCTGAAAATTTCAGTGGCAAAGAGGCACTGCTGGTAATAAGAGGTTTTTCCTGACGTGCTGCTTCATAGCAATGCCTGCTGTGGGGTGAAGCCCCTTAACAGTGTAGTGAAGTATACGGATGCAGTTTCCAGAAATTCGGGTTGCTCCGCAAGTAGTACGGCAGCTTGAGGACGGTTTCAGTGTTGCTTGCTTGCATCATTGAAGCATTTAGAAAAACATTTGAGCAGAGAAAATTCTATTGTTCAGAGTAAACCTCAGTGTCACGTTACATGTGTATTTTTTTTAGACGTTTGCAGCCACACAATGACTCTCCCGCCACCCTCCACATGCCCCTACGTCAAGGACGCCATGTTTACTTTGGAAAAGGGCTAGTCAAAAAGGTAAGGGAAGGCATTTTTGCAAAGTGAACAATACCTTTGTCTTAACTACAACTTCCTACAATCGTTTGGCTTCCATAATAAATAAAGCAGTATTTATTTCACCAACGAAAATAAGATATTATCAGTAAATTTAAGTACTACTTTTTGGCATGGTAGCGGGCACGCATTTTGGTTCTGCTGCTTCTACGGAGCTGCCAAGAAAAAGTTGTCGCCGAGAGTGAGTGCTCTTTATCTTGCTGGTACCACTCGTTCTCTACATATCGACCCATTCACCAAGCCTAAGTTGATCTGGTCTGTCACCACGTGTAGCGTCGGGCAGCAGTCCTTCACTGTGCAGCAAAAGCTTAAGATTATCGCTGTTGCCAAGAAATTTGGAAATTGCGAAGCGGAAAGGTGGCACGATGTGGACAAGTCTTGCGTGCGACTGTGAAGAAAGAAGACAGCCTACGAGTCGTGCACTGTGACCGTAGATCATTTCGTGGCCCCAAGACCAGTGCCTACCCTGAGCTGGAGGAGCGGCTAGTAAAATTCATCGAAGATGTGCAAAGCAGGGGTCATGCTGTATCGACCGAGATTGCTCAAGTGGAAGCGCGGCCACTGGCGAGGAAGCTATGCCTACGCCAAGGGTTCTGCGCGAGTCGCAGATAACTGCACCGCTTTATAAAGCGCCAAGGTCTCTCAATCAGATGGCAGACTACAATATGTCAGCGCTTGCCAGCTTCTTACTTCAAGCTGCTCAAGTACCAGAAACATGCAATTGGCTTGAGAAAGCAGCACGATTACATTTTCTCGCAGATTGGCAGTGCAAATGAAACTCCTGTTTATTGTGAAATGCCATTGGACACAACGATTGAGAAGACAGGCAGCTGTTCGGTGAGCGTGCTCACCGGCGGGAACACAAAACTGCACTGCACAGCCTTGCTTTGTGCCCTCGCCAACAGCACGAAACTGCAACCATAGGTCATCCTATAAAGTAAAACTATTCCGAATATTCCTTTGCCTGCGGTGTGGTGGTGCGTGCACACCACACCAGCAGGCAAATACTGAAGTGCAGGCGAGGATGAAAAGTGACTTGTTCATGGACTGGGTCAAGCTGATATATGATTGATTGATATGTGGGGTTTAACGTCCCAAAACCGCCATATGATTATGAGAGACGCCGTAGTGGAGGGCTCCGGAAATTTCAAACACCTGGGGTTCTTTAACGTGCACCCAAATCTGAGCACACGGGCCTACAACATTTCCGCCTCCATCGCAAACGCAGCCGCCGCAGCCGGGATTCGAACCCGCGACCCGCGGGTCAGCAGCCGAGTACCTTAGCCACTAGACCACCGCGGCGGGGCATGCTGATGTATGAGAAGAGGCCCGGTATGAGGCATGCAACAAGGTCCATGCTCTTTCTTGACTCGTTCCGTAGCCACACAACTGAGGAAGTGAAGGACCGTCTTTCACACAACGGCACTGACACAGTTATTATACCCGGTAGAATGATGTCAATGTTGCAGCCTCTAGATGTGTCACTTAACAAGCCCTCCAAAAAGCATGTCAAGTGAAATTATGCTGAGTGGAT